ATCCAAGATCCAAGATTCCCACAAGACTCCTGGCTAAAATCTTGGATTGATACAGTGATAAAGGATGTTCCCAAATCCAAGATTTTCCACAAGACTTCTGTGCAAATCTTGGATCTTGGTTTTGGGCAGGATGTTCCCAAACCCAAGATTTTCCACAAGACTTCTGTGCAAATCTTGGATCTTGGATCTTGGTTTTGGGAAGGAATGCATTCTCTGGCATTCTCTGGTAGTGACAAAATTGCACTAAGTACATTTTGATCCTGATATATTACTGATTACCGACATTTGTTCCTCATTCAATTCTAATTAACAACTAACTCAACTCTAATTTACTTCCATGAATTTTAGTGCACATACAATTTAACTAAATTCTAAGTCGATTCTTATTCCAATTTAAAATCACTTGTATTTCTATTTAAAATTCCTACTCTAAGCCTAAGTTGAGCCTAATTGAATTCTAATTTAAGTCTATTTGGCTTAACTTCATTGTAAAGACAAATTCTAATTCAGTGTTTATTCTAATTTACTCATTTCTATGTTAATTCTAATTATGTTTGGCTATTTTAGATTTAGATTTAATGGAATTCAAACTTGAATAGTTATATCTGCAACGTGCTTCTGCTTAAATAGAAAATGATCCTAATTGAGCTTTATATAATTGAAATCAGATTGAGATTGCAAATTAGATCTAGTTCAATTCTAATTGAACTGAGATTCCAATTAATTTAATTCTAGGTCAAGACTGTTCTACTAACCAAGCTCTAGGTAAAACAACTCTAATTCAATTCTACCTTAGTTCTAAGTCAATTTCAATTTAAGTAATGGATTCTTATTCAATGTTTTTCATTCAACTCTAATTTAATTCCAGTCTACTTCTAATTTAGTTCTATTTCATTCTATTTTGGGTTCAATTGTAACTTTGACTCTTCCGATTTACTGGTAATTAATGTCTAATGTTAATGCTTTTTTACAGTTCAGATTCAATTGTTTTACACATCTAACTTTACACTATTGTCATTGCAAATTAGGTTTGGTTTCTATTTCTATATGTCTAATTTCACCCTATGAATTCTAATTCAGTTTTGGTGTCATTCTAGAGAGTGGGTGTTGCTGGTGGTGAATTTAATTCATTTAAGAAAGCAAATGCTTCTATATTGGGAAAAAACTACATAAAATCTCACATGTTCTAAGTAACACCACTTCTCTAGAAAGTAAATGAGAATTTCACTCAAATGAAAACTAAATTGAACAAGAATACACTATTAGAATTGAATCTGACTTGTATAGGAATGAAGTTAGAATTAGCTTGAAATCAAATTAAAATTAGGCTTGCATTGAACCCCAAGTAAATTAGAATCTATAGTGATAGACATTGGAATCAAAATAGAATTTACAAATAATTGACATAGACTCAAATTTGAATTTGAATATACAAAGTAGAGTAGAGTTGAACAGATTGGAATTTAAATTTACTTAGAATTACACTGGAATTTAGTTATTTAGGGTTTGCAATTCTTTGCCTTCTGATAATGATGTACTTGCTCAACTGCATTCAAAAAGAGCAGTACAATTCACACCCTAAAACAAGACATATGGTCTTGCAGGGGGGTTGCAATGAATTAGATTACTCCATCCAAGAACTGTTTAGTAAACACATAACCTTATGGATTTTGACATTTTTGTAGTACATAGTTAAATGAACAAATATGCTTACCAACCGCACACCAGCACTCAGAAACATAGTTTTTTTTTGGGGCGGGGCTAGCGTATATATATATATATATTACGAAAGCCAGCCGATAGGCTAGGCTTGAGCTCTTAGAGCGAACGAAGTGAGTTAAGGGGGTGTGGGGGGGGGCGCGAAAAGGCACTTTTCGGAGCTTGGTGGGGGAGAGCGCTCCAAAGCGAGGGTCAGAAACGCAGTGAAAATGGGGTCTGGTGACGCGAGTGATGCAATGGACGCCGAGCATATCATGAAGGGGTCTGGAGACAATTTTTCTAGTCCTGAGCATAGGGACTGTGTAGCTCTGATCATACCAAGAAGGACCAAGCAACAAAGAGTGAACGCACTGGGAGCGAACGATGTGAGTATGTCCAGTTGGGCGAGGTAGAGGCTTGGGGATAAGAGCGCCGGAAGAGGAGAAGCAAGAAAGCTGCAAGCGTTCGGCACTTCATGCTGTGCTCCGATCTTGATCTCAGTCGCAGTGATACCAGCTCCACGAAACTACAAGCTTTCAACTATAGGTGCTCTGCTATTATTTTCCTCCCAGCCCTGGTCTCTATAGGGCTTCGCATTGATGCACGATACCCGAAACACATTTCAACGCAACCACAAAAACCATTTCGGGCATCATTCTCCTGGTGGCCACTGACGTTTATTTTTGCACGGATTCTCAAATAGAACATCAACAAGGGACGCTCCAGAAGGCGCCGCACCAAGCAAATCAAAAATACTAAAAACATTCAACACTTCATGCTGTGCTCCCATCTTCATCTACGTCGCAGTGATACCAGCTCCACGAAAACTACAACCATTCAAGAATGAGTGCTCTCCTCTTTTTTTCTCCCAGCCCTGCTCTTTATAGGGCTTCGCATTGATGCACGATGCCCGAAGCACTTTCAACCAAAAACCACCTTTCGGGCATCCTTCTCCTGGTCTTCATTGACGTTTATATTTACACCGATTCTCAAATAGACCACCAAACAAGCATTCAACAATAAGTGCTCCGCTATTTTTTCCTCCCAGTCTTGCACTACCATATTGGTCTCTCGCTGGCTTTCGTCCTCTCCTTTCTCAGGTATCTTTCTCAATTTGGGTGCATTATCTTTCCGGGTCCAAATCCATGGTATTGGCCGTGCATCACGAGATACCCAGAGCAAACCAGACCTGGTTGAATTTGCTATCAGAGTCGCATTCTGTGAGCCCAATCACATATTCTGCTAGACAAGACGATGAAAATGAAACCACCTTGGCACTTTGGTTCGGGTTTCCGATTGGCTAAGGATGAACTTTCTAACGAGTCCATTGATGTACTTCGATTTACTCGTGACTTGCCTCAAGAGTCTTGCTCCTCGCCCTAGTGCAAGATACTGGGGGTTACTTCTGTGTTGTTATGGTTTCTTTCTCAGACACGTGCATTGTCCAAAGCATCCACTTTTACATGCTGAGAGGTGCTAGTTCTTGTGCAACACAGCATAAATTATGGCAAGACATAGGAACCAATGTGGTGGATCTTGCTTGGGTTCTGGGGTATGGTTCTGGGGTCCGAAGCACAAAATTGCCTAGATGTGCCTTCGATATCGCCCTGCAAGTCTTCACCCAAAATCAAAGGCACAGTTTGCAGATGGTGTCCCTGGTGTCCCTATTTTGGTTCTATCATGATATGTTATGATATGGACGTCACTCTGTTTGGAAGAAACTCGAGTTTTGTGAAAGCATTTGAGTAGGACCTGGTAGGACCATCCCTAGGCGATGGCCCCGACCCTCACAGAGCTCATTCTGCAGGAGAGGGTGGATCATACAGTCGACATGCAGAACACGAGTTGGATGCTGGATTTGCTAACTGACAGCTTTGTATTCTTGAGTTTCTTTCCAGCGACCCTGTTCAGCTCTACTCTGCATAACCTTCTTGGAGCCCTTGATGAGAACGTAACTTGGAATTGCTTTCCACACCCATTGCAAGGAGTCAGGCATTTTCCCAAACCTTGTGTGGCTGCGCTTCCCACGCTTGCTGGATACGGCCTTGAAGGACGGTTCTGGCGGAGAAGGCCAAATGAACCTGGGACAGAGCTGTGACTACTTTTGGCCAACTAGTGTACTCCATTTGCTGCTACGTGAAACCAAACAGGTGCTTTAGATCTGTACATGTACCATCGGCTTGTGACTTGTGACAGATATGATTTGTGAAAACTATCGCATTTGGTGGACAAGTCCGACCTTCTGAGAGATGTACAGGCAGTAGGTGTTGCAGAAGCAATGACGTACTTATATTAAAAGAGTAAGTCAAGCCCGACGACTACTTGTACTTTGTGGATCTTTGTCTCAACTTTTCTGAGTCAAAGGCTCTTAGACGGAAGATGGGTTGTGCGACCTATCACCAACCCCCCCAAGCCAATACTGGAAACTATCATCATTGGTTTGGCGTTGTTGATGCAAACACGGCATGCGCCAGGTATAGGCGTGATCGCCAAGCTGGTCTCTGCAAATTGGAGCAACTTGGAAGGGTTGCTACTCATAGCGAGGACTTCGAGTCTTGCGAAGATGTCGAAAGCTGAAAGCAATGACTTGAAAGGAAGAATCACTGGGCAAACTTCATGCAGAATTCTTGGCATGTGAACCAGGTATCTTGAAGATTCCAGTGGCCTGGCTGGATGGTGAAACCAGACTGGGAGGTTTGGAGTGACAAGGTTTCGGAGAGGATCTTGGTTGATTGATGGATGACGCATGATTGTCATAATATGAAATTGAATAGACGTTTTGATAGAATGACTCACTGCAGCACCTTCTTTCGGCCATTTGTTGCAAAAGCTTCCTTCTCACACAAATGGTGGCCTCCAACGGTCAGTTTTCCTCTAGCCTAGGGCCTAGGGGTCTTGGGTGCCTGATGGCCATAGATCTGTGGATGGTGAATGGAAAGACCATGTCATTTGCACATAGGACCCTACTGTATATCCTCAGATCGAGTCTGACATGCATGGACTGAGCCTTATATAGATAAATTCCAGGACCCTTAATTGAAGTCATCATGTTGGTCCTCATGGCTTGCCCGTGAGGCTCATTTATTGTGCGCTGTATGGTTTGCTTGCAGCTCTATCCACTACTTGAAGCTCGGCTGAGCATTGATTCTTTCAATTCCCAGGCTCACCGAGGTCATCCCTCCTGCAAGTAATCAGGGCAAAGACAGTGTTATGGTAGAGTTCCCGGAGAACTAGCATGCCCCACCTAAAAAAGAGCATCCACCACTACCGGTCATTTCCTGTCCAAGGACCGAATGTGAGAATGAGGAGTTCGTGTGGGGAGTAGAGCCAGGTGACGCGTAAGTGGATGAGATGAGACCTGCGGCGAATTGACGGAGCAAGGTTTGTCTTCGACATCCTTATAAATATATACGTGAAGGATACAATGCATTGCTTTCATTTCTTGCTGAATGGGGGCACTTAGTGACATAGTGTTGGATTGTTCTTTGCCAGGGATTCTGGCCGGTGCCCAGTCCCTCTAGAACTGGAACCATGGAAGAACACCCTGGCAGAACATGTAAGAAAAATGATCCAATTGTCAATTGTCCTTAAGGCTTGATGGAAGTGGAGTCACTTGGCCAGTGCCTGCCAAAGGTGTTGTCCGTGGCAGGCTATCACAGATACATTTCCATTCCTTCGGCCATGTATTATGCTGCTGACTCAGCTGTGATGCAAATGGCGTGTCGTTCTGTAGATTTTGTCGAATCCTACTGGATTGAACTATCAGAAACCATCACACTGGCCGACAATGTTAGCGATGCAAAAGTCTGCAAACACATGCCTTTGTTGTGACCATCTTCAGTGATTCAGATTTGCAAGGAAGCTGTGGAGCTAGTAGTAGTGCAGAATCCTGTTGAATGCATTCAGACACAGGACTGCTTTCCTGAAAAGTGAAAGTTTGTTCCCTATTACTTTGTCTCCCACGTTTTTCCAATGAATGTCAAAGCTCTAGAGGGTTTGCAACTTCTACAGTTCTGCAGGGTTTGCTTTGCAATCGGTCTCAAACAATGCAACATTCTGACTGTGAAGCTTTGAAGCCCCTTCATACCCTTATCTGAATGTATACCGAGGCCTTGATTGACTTCAACGGTGTCTTGGCACATCGCTTGGTAGCTTATTTGAGAGGCCCCAGGTGACAGAACCTCGCAACCCGGATCAGCCAGAGGCTACATAATGTAATGTGCGTTGCCAAGTTTCCTCTTGCATAAGCACGCGACGTGGAACAGAAACCGACAGAAACCTGTTTTTGCCAGCCCATTTGTGGACCGGTGGAGGAACCTCTTGTCTTTGCCCCAGGCGAATTTCCCAATGCAGATGAGTTCTCAGCACCGTTCGGGAGAATGAACTCTATGGTGCCTCGTTTGCACATGTTGGCGCCTTTTATGTCTCTAACTCTAACTGTTTTGGTGATTATGCCCAGGCAGCAGGAACAGATGAGCATTGCCAAGTTGCAGTATTCCAAACAATTTGTTTCAGTTTTTGCTCAGACATGCTCCGACCATGCGTCAACCAAAGCGACGCACAGACCCTGCGCCCCAGGCCACAGAGCCTGAACTATGTTATATAGTATACTTACACTTCAAAGTTCATGTGTAGTGTATGGTTTAATGTTTAAAAGAAAAGCCGTGTATTTTTGAACGGAGCCTTTGCATGTGATGCTGTTTTGAGTATTCTTCTCAGTTTCTCAGCAGCCTTGCAATATTTTGTGTTGAGGTGATTTGCCTCCTGGGCACATACCTTCTGAGCATTCCTGCTGGCGTGCTGGGTGCGGCTTTTCATGTACCTCAGACAATCCACCAAGTTGTTCTCACGTTCCTCATATCTTAGCGACAGCTCAAGATCTGAAAGGAGTTGAAGACTGGAATTTCATGCACGTCTTGAGAATCTCCACCTCCAAAGACACACTCTGGAAATTGTTTAAGGACCATGTCACGAGGAACCACGGGCGTTTGGATGCTGTGGGGCGCATGCAGGCCCTATTTGCACTCGTTGACACAGTTGCAGACATTTGAACATGTATTCCTTTGTTCGTTCCAGTCCGTCCTAGCGACTCTGTTTGCATTGTGTTGTTGACGCTGACAGAGTCTTCACTGAAAGTGTGAATAGAGGCACCGTCGCCAGCTTCCCTTTCCCAGGCAACTGCCATTGCTAGTTGTGAGTTCAACTCATGGAAGTCTTGTTGTGCTTTGCATGTTTCTTAATCAGCTCGATCAATATCTTGTGGTGAGTTTGAATGAAGCCTGCGCCGTGGGTCAAGCAGGCTTCAGATATTTGAGCTCGGTCAACATGAAGAATTCAGCAACTCTCAGTGAGGCCTTGGAAGCGAGACCTCCACCTTCCAAATCTTTTTCCGTCATGTTGATCGGCTTCGTCGTCGGGATGCCTAGCTCGATTTCCAGTTCAATGTTGAGCTTAAATGTGCACAGACCTTTCTTCCTTTTCTTTTTGCTTTGTTTCTATTAGCGATAGCCTCCACCCTAATAGCGACTAGCTGGGATGCGCGGCTTGGCCTGAGAAACAATTGGTGCGTGGCTGTGGAGGATGCTCAGGGCCTTTTCGACCTTAGAGCTCAGCACTCAGGTTTTGTCAACTGGGAACTTTATCTTGCTGACAGTGGTCTATCAACGTCCCGTTTGCGAGAATGATGTGGAAGGACAAAAGACCTGAGGAAGAGGATCTTTTTGCATTGTGATTTTCATGTGTCAAAGACAATGTCAGCCACATTCTCAAGTGAAACTTGGCCTTCGATGTCAGTTGTCTAGCCATGTCGGGCTCTAATACAAAACATTCAGGAACACACAATCCCAGACTATCCCATTCAAGGATATTCAAGGTGCTAGGTACCCCTTTGAGATGTGGAGAATCAACAAGTAACAAGTATCACTTTGACAGATAGCACAGCATAGCGTGGAAACTGCTCTGTGAACGCTCTTTCCTTCGTGTCACCCATGGTCTTAGAAGAACTGCAGAAGGTTGCTCCGAACCAAACCATGGAGAATCAAGAAGAAGCGCATAAGGAGTTGGCACGAAGACGTGCAGAAGTCCTTTCAAGCTTGGAGAATTGGTGCCGGGCATTGAAAAATATAGTGGAGGCTCCAATGGGGGCTCCAATCGACGCCACTCCAACTGAGAAGGAAGGGGGACTTCAGTCTCGCTTGAGAGATGCCCTCTTCACTGATATTTGCAATGCCTTGGCGTTTTCTGGAGCCGCTGGTTTGAACAAAGAGGCATCGACACCTGTCAGGATTACAAGTCAGAGACAAGTTTCCAAGAGCACTGGTCTCATGACGCCTCGGACTTCCATCACCCTCACTCCCCGCACCCCAAAGACTTCGGCTCTTCGTGAAAATCTCCGTGACGGCCGAGCTCTCGTGACCGTCACCCGGAGCAAAGTGGAGAAGCTCTCGACCCCTCGCGACCGTGGGACGCCTGGGCGCCACACTGGGCGCCCAGTCGACCACACGACACCAGGCCACACTGGGGCCAGGCCACAGAGCGCTAAACTCGAGCGCGAGAACACTCAGAGCACGCGGGGCTTTCAGATGCCAGCCTTTGCTGGCGTGCGGCGGGCATCATCCCCCAATGGAACATGTGGAACCACATCAACATCATCCAAAGAGAGGCCTGTTGGATTGGGCTCACGGAGCAGCTCGTTGAAAATACGACCAATCCTGTGAAGCTCAGGTCCGGCTGAAGCACCCAAAGCAAGTCCAGCATCATACAGATACTGTACAGTACGCACCAAAGTATTTTGTGTCTAAAAATATGTCCAAAGTCTAGTCGTAGACTTCGAGGTTGAATGTTATTGGCACAGAAGATGCACCTCGAGGTTGCCGGCAATTGCTGAGTGCCAAAAAATGCAGCCAGGCTGGTTAATAGTGTACCACCTTTCTCGTTCTGCAGAGCTATGCATGACTCTCGCCAGGACACCTTTTTGAGGAGGGCTCTTGGCAACGGGCCACGCAACTTGAAGGCAATGTATAGGAGTGCAAGTGACACGTTCTTGAGAGTGATGCTGCATTAGGGATGCGGTCTGGGCAATCACAAGCCACATAAGCGAATACATCAACACCTCAACACTTAGCTCTGAGGTCCTGTTCACTCTGCTTGAGGCAGAAGCATGGGGAACGGGCAATCCCAATAGTGGCCAGTAGTGAGGCCAAGAGCATCTACCTGCATGTAATTTGTCACTCCGTCTGACTCCGTCTCCAGCCTGAGTTCGATGTTTAGATTCAGATGAGGTGCATCCAGGCCCTAGGTAATTAAGGTGGTTCTACGCCTTCAGTCAGCAAGGAACATACCCAACATGGCTGGCCGTGGTGCAGCCATGGCCATTGATCTCATTGTCCAAGGATTGCTCCATGCCGGTACCTCGACTGCTTGCTTGCGATCCCTTTCTTCACAATCTGGGCCGCCAAGCTTGTTACGATAGAGTTGCTCGGCTTGCCTCGTGCACATCAATCTGAGGCACAGGCGTTATGAACCCACTGACACCTGTATGCTGAAAACGTTTGAACACTATGGTGGCTATACATATATATATATATGTGTTGGCAGCCCATGCCCGACGTCCCACGTCGGCCTTTTCACCTGGTGGGCTTGAGAGTCCCTGCGCGGTCGAGAAACAACACTCCTTAAGAATTCTTTGTAAATGTTCTTGGCAATTGTGTGCCGGGAATGCATGGCTTGTCAGAAGGGTTCAAGCCACGTGCCTTGAAAAATTCAACGAGGTCACGCAGCGGGCCGGACCCTGATTTAAAGTGGGAAAAGCAAAAGGCTCTATAGCCTTCCAAGCCTTCGTCTGTCCCGGTGGCGAGCTCCTCATATGTTTTCTGTCCTTTGAATTTTCCGAAGCTCACGACTGATCGGCCCCAGTGATCCACACTGTGAATGCCTGGAGGCAAGTGCACTTCCAAGCACGGCGTCTCAAACGTCGTTGATCCTGAAGGCATCGGTGTCGGGGTTGCCGGAGAGACGGTGTAACCAAACATCTCTTTGGGACTGGCTTCAACGCTCTCGCGGAGGCGTTTGCTTCCATCCGTCATGGCTCCAGTCTGGGTGCTGATGGATGTTTCTTCGGCCTTCTGGTTCTCGATGCTCAACACGCGCTGCATGACTGAGTCCCATACCCCGTGTTCACGGGCTTTGGTAGTCAGACGCACAACCTCATCGAACTCGGCACTGGTGAATGCCGCTCCCTTACGGTTGGCAAGGACCATGGTGTCACTTGTGAGTATCAAATCACACTTCGATCGTTGATTTCCTCAAACTTCCCTGGCTTGAGACGATCAGCGACACAAAATCGCTTGCTTGAAAGAAGGCATTACCAAACAAACAAACAAAAAATTACATACAGTGAAACAACTATGGTAAAGGAGTGATATATCCACATTCTCAGCTAAGGCAGGGATCGACATGGCATGTTCAAATCACAACACAAAGTTCAGGATTTCCCCGGTCACTTCACTCACACGAATGCTGCAGCACTCTCCCACTTGAGACTAAGAAGTGTTAACACTTCAATCCAAACACGTGCTAGTGAAAACATGCTTAGCAAAAACAAAATCACACACTCTCGGTGGTGTGTGGCTCTGTGTTTCCGTGAGTCGAGGGCTTTTTGGCAAATTGCTGTCTTCTCTCTCTCTCTCTCGGCGGCTCGGCGTCTAAGGACCAGGTCTTCTGGACTGATCTGGTAGGATGCTGTCCTTAAACAAGAACGAAGGAGGTCGAAAGCTTCGGGGCTTTCCTTGGTCAGGCCATCGGCCAGCATACGATTGGTGGGAATCCAACGCAAAACAGCTTTGAGTCTCTCAATACTATCCCTTAGAATAACAATATCTATGGCTGTCCTTCGGTCGTCTAATGTAGGGGATGACTGGGAAACCAAATGATCGTACAAGGATTTACAGTCCGTGATCAACATGACTACCCTGTTCCCCATCCCTGACCAAAGGCTCCGAGCAAAACGAGGACCGTCGAGCGCTTCCGACAAAAGCAGCGACGTCCACTCTAACATGCTGGAAGCCACAGACATGCTCTGTGCTTCTGCGCTGAGGGTTGAACTAACAACTCTGGGAAGTCGAAAACTCTTCCAATAGCCTGGTGTCCATGAACTGTCTAAGCCTTGGTTTACTCCCTGGTGTGTGTAGCTAACAATGAACCCTCCTTGGGTGGCTCCCGCACGAGCGTTTCCAAAAGCTGCATCGGAATGGCACATGAGACCTAAGTCATCAGGAGAAATAGAACAAAACTTCAGCCCTTGGTCGGCATGTTGTTTTGCTCGACGCACGGCGTGGTTCGCCGAGATGGCGTCTCCGACGGTTAGCTGTGGAAAGGCCTGCTGTGAAAATGACACTTGAGTCGCCAAGTCCGGCCTGGACTGGTTTGCCAACCAGTTGAGGCTTCCATTGATGGCTCTCAGACAACTGATTTCTTTTTCGGTCAAAACGGCATCACGGTTTCTAGCCCTATCTCTACTAAGATGCAAAGGACGTATCTTCTGCGCAAACTTTGCTTGTGACATGGTGATCTCATAGGATTTGGGGTCTTGAGAGTATTGAGCTCCACAAAAGTCCCCTTCCCCAATGCGCCACTTCCGGAATTCAAAGGTGGATTTGAGTTCTTGGATGGCTTTGTGGTACCCGTTCCCGGAACCCCCCGTGACGCAGTCATCGACATGGACCCCATAGACTCCAGTCAATCTACCATCTTCTCGGAAATAGAACAGGCAACTGTCAAACCGAGAACGTTCAAACCCGACTCGGAGGAGTTCACTACTGAGCTTGCGATACCATGCAGCTGGGGAATCATTCAAGCCGTAGACATGACCCAAGATCTCTATCAAGGCGTTGTCTGGAACGCCGGGGATTCCCCCCTTTGGGAGAGATGCATATAGGGGTCTATATCTCTGTGGCAGGTCTCCGGCAGCAAGGAAAGCACCCTTGATGTCTCCTAAGGCCAATTGCCATTTGTGAGAGGCAATGAGTTGGAACAACATGGACCTCGCCAGTCGGACTCTGCAGGTCACCTAACTGCGCCTTGTCCGTCAGGTCTGGGTCCAGGTGTCCAAGTAAGCACCAGCGGGCTTTGGTCCGAGGTGGTGCATCTTCCTCTTGCTTGATGGTCACTACAAACCGACTACCCATAATTCGATGCGGAAATTTCTCTCGAACGAGATCGGCCTCAGGTCCTAGGACCAATCTACCGGCGTGCTTCCCCTGGATGGTGCACCATTCGAGTGCTTTTGCCTCGTCGATCTTCTTCTGAAGCTCTGGTGGGTTACCGGTAACCGCTAATTCCTTTGAGGACTTCTTCTTCATGTATGAGGCCACGAGCTGTTCAATGGGGTCCCCGTTCAGGAATCGATCGGCAAGTTCTCGACGGTCGGCGGACGACAAGTCTTCAAGATGATCAGTCAAACCACAGTTTCTGATAACTTCGACGGAACATACTGTGATTTCGTCCATGGCGAAGGTGTCACCTGAACCCGTTTCAGTCCTTTTGGCTGCTGGTTCGGACGAATCGGCTGAAGGCTCTGATGGTCGTTTGACTCCCCGACTATCGGGATTTGGCTGACCTTGTTCAGCTGAAGGTGTTCCTATAGGAGATTTTTCTTCAAGCATGTTGTTCAGGAGCTCTGGAACTATTTCTTGCATCATGTCCTGGAAATCGGATTGAGTCATGCGACCAGGACGGTACAAAGCCGAGGCGTGATCCTTCTGGTGGATCCTTCGTCGTGGCTGGCGAAGCGGGCCATAGGCACTTGCCTCCGGCTCTTGGACTTCTCGTGACGGATATGGCACACTCTTCGATTTGAGATCTCGTAGTTTTTCCTCAGTGTCAGGCTCATCGATGGTCTTTTCTTCTGGTACTGATGGAGTGTGGTGTGGCATTCTATTGGGGGCCGAGCTTGAGGCAGTTGCTGACGGCTCTATCTCTCTTTCGGCTTGTTCCCAAATGGAACGAGGCTCAGCTGCTTCAGTTGGTCGAGCAACGGCTTCCTCTGGCAGTTGACTATCGCCAGGATAGCTTTCTGGGACTAAATCGATGTACTGGCGACTCTCGAGACTGTTTGACTCGATGAGATGTTTGATACCTAGCAAATCCATGTGTGGGGTTTCAACCAGCTTCAGTTCCGATTCCGTGGAAGACCGAACCTGTTGAGGTGCGCAACGGAAAATCTGCCGTTTGTGGATGAGAACAATGTTCTGTCCTACGTACCCCAAAACTACAGCCGGACCACACCAACGACCAGTCTTTTCCAGGGTTCCATGGACCCATTTTTGAGATCGCCAGAATGCTACATACATACCTGGCTGATAGGCATGTGAAACACGAGGACGAGCGGCCAAGGCTAAACGAAGTGCCTTGCTGTCTTGGAGCTCCAACACAGCTCTCCTGGCTGTTTGTCGGATTGCAACTTCTCTTCATATAGCGATGCTGTGGCTGGCACTACCTCGAGTGGTTCATCTAGCAAGTTCTCAGGGACCCTGGGGTTTTTCCCAAAAACGAACTGAGAGGGTGTCACGCCATAGACTTGAATTAACTGATTTTTACAGTGAGCGGAGTTGACACACTCAATCCATTCTTCTTGGGTGGTCGGAGAATGTTCCATGAGGATCTTGTCTAGAATCTTAGAGAACCAACCCCCATGTACCTCAGTTTTTCCAAGTTGCCAATGGGCGTCTGCCGCAGTTAGCTTGAAAGTGGCGCCGCCTTGCTCCAAAACGGTGGTGAACGCATCGGCCACATTGGCCCTGGCGGGATCAAGCACTATTTCCTGTGGCACTCCGGCCCACGATACCCAGCGTTCCATGAACGTTTTCAGGATGATCTTGGCAGTTTCTCGTTGGAAAATGGGCACTACGATCTGCATTGAGCTGGCATGGTCTAGTATGTTGAGAGCTGGAATTTTTTGGTTGGTCAACCACCCCCGCAAATACTTAACGTCAACCCCCACTAAGGCATTGAATTCAACCACTCGGTGAGTTTGTGCAGGATGGGCTACCGTTGGGCTCTTCAACGCTTTGCAGTGATCACAGGAAAAGGACCGAGCTGCGGTCAAAGCGGCTTCGGATGCACCACCATGTTTTAACACTCGCACCAATTGTTGGTTGGTAGGGTGACCCAGCTTGTTGTGAAGTCGACGAATGCTATCGGTGATCTTGTTGTCAGGTTCTTGATTCATTTCCTCCACTGTGTGTGCAACCAAACACTCGACGCTCAGCTCCGATGAGAGCTTCAGGCATTCGGTGGCTGGCAGGTCACGAGTCAAACGGAGAACAGCTTTCACAAAGGCTGTGGTGTACTTGGCTGCATGCTTACTGATGCAACCTAGTTTCGGCCAACTACCTGAAATGCTCTGATGCTGCCGATGCTGTGGAGAGGCGTCCCCAGGACACTTTCGACTCAGACTCTTCATGTCAGCATGTGACACCAACAAGGATGTCGGCTTCCGGACGAGAGGCCCTCCTGGCACCGACAACCCATAGCAACACATGTCGACTGGGATTTGATGGCCATCTTTGCACAACTGCTCCATGGACCGGAGACGCCAAGCGACAGAATCCCGTGGGTGTTCAAAAAGGAACCTACCTCCGTGACTCTTTTGGATTGCCATGACTTCACAACAAAAGGAAATAAACAACCGAGTCCATGACTCTTTCTGAGCGACTTCAGCTTCACTCATGCGCAGGCGATTCAAATGCCACCAACCCCCGGCCCAAGTGCATGGAGGGCAACAAACAAGAAGCTTTGGTTTGTCTCTTCTCACAATATCCTTGAGTTGGTTTCGATGGTCACTCTTGCGAAAATCCCAACCTGTGCAGAGGTCGGCAGACAAAACCCTATATCCTAATTTCGCCCCTTCCAAAGCAAACCTGGGGGGTGAGAACAACTCAACGATGTCATAGCCCCCAGTGTCCCGGTCCTCCCGATTGCTGGATGGCTTCAACTGAGCCATGAGACAGCGGTGCTGCTTACTCGTGAACGACATCAGTCGGAGAAACTCGTCCTCAGCTGCGGGGAGAGACGGCACCGGAGCGTTCGACGACAGGCGAAAGATAGTCTGGCCTGTCCACGGCTGGTCACCAACCTTGGCATGAGCCTGATGTGCATCCGTCCAATCATCAGAAAGGTCCCTACAGGTCGGAGTCATTCGATCGAACTTGGTCAGTCGGCAGTCCTGAAGAAACATGCTAACGATCGGGCACTGTGTGTGTGCTGGGGTGAAAAGCTGAGAACGAGGCTTCCTATGGTGTCGGATGACAATGCGTTCGGACGGCCGAAATTCCCAAAAATCCTTGACCTTCTGGCGTTTATGATTGTATGAAACCGAGAGGCACGAAACAGGCTCTGGCTTTGCTTCGGACGCGGCTTCACCGCTGGGCTTGAACAAAGCGGGCGCCTGCGGTGGAAATCCGACCACTCGTACGGCATACTGTCCGGCTGAATTGACTTCCATCGGAACGGCCACCTGCTCAGGAAATAAAAGCACTGTATCGTCAACAAAATTCACGCGGGCTTGAAGCGTCTTGAGAGCCGGTCTTGACAGCAGCAACGGGGCTTGCCCCCGGACGATAGCCGCTCGAATGCGACCGGGCCGTCCGGCAAGAAACACAGGCATCTCAATCACCGAGTTGCTCACTTCCTGATGTCCGTTCCCATAGCGGAACACATTCTTCTCCAACACCTCCGGCTTCACATCAATGCCGGCTTCTCTCCAGATCTCCTGAAAAGCTTCCAAGGTTTGTCTCCCGATAATTGTCTTGCCGCAACCGCTGTCCAGAATGGCATACCCAGGCGAGCTCAAACTCCGACATGGCAACGCGCGGTCGAACACGATCGTGAGCGCCCCGCCCACGCAACCCTAGGCGACGGTCCTTTGACCAGCTCCGCTACCAATGTTGGCAGCCCATGCCCGACGTCCCACGTCGGCCTTTTCACCTGGTGGGCTTGAGAGTCCCTGCGCGGTCGAGAAACAACATATGTATATATTCAGAGGAAAGCTCGGACGTGGTTTCAAGAGATGTACGCCCAAAGATCCAGTTCCGGAAGGGTTGTTTTGTGACCCAATATTTAGCAAGGTTCTGAATAAAATTACCAGTATATATGCCCACTCTTTGATGAACAAGTTCAACACGGTTGTTTCTTATGTTGTGTCAGCGTTCTCCCTCTGACCTAGGAGAGCTCGCGACTACATTCTGAGCGCTTCGCATGCAGCCTCGGCCCCAGCATCAAATCTATTTGATTTCAATTGATCGGGTTTCAGCCATGTACGACACTTCATAGCAATATGGAGAATGAGGCGGTTAAGCAATTCTTCAACATGGTTGACGTTGAGTCCATCCTCGGAAATGTTCCAAGCCTACACAATTAGATGTTTGTGTGTCCACATGGCCCACTTTAACTTTGCCTCAGCGATTTCGGATGGCTTCTTGAATTCAAGTCAATTTTGGCAACTTGACGCAAGCTCCCATCTATCTCCCCTGGTACGCCTGTGAACTTCTAAGTATGTAAAAGGCCAACTCGATTGGAAGGCCCGATGCAAACAGCTCATTTCAGAATTTTAGAGTTTTCAGAGATTCTTAAGATGGCAATGATGGCCGAAACACCCAAAGTTGCAAGGTTTGATGTAGACTAGACTTGAGAGCAGCATGTTCACATTGATACGTATTATATATATATTTATTTTTTTTTGAGGGTTCTATAGCCTTGCGATTCGCAGGTGGACTTGGCGGCATGGCTCCCTTCATACTTCCTTCTGCAGTCCTTGGTGCTGCATGGCAGCTGTTTGGACCCTGCAATGAAATTTATCAGACCGCTCTGAGCGTAGGTGAAGTAACGAAGTAGCGGGGAAGCATTGCAGCCAATCACAGACAAGCAAGAAAGACCAAAGACCTCAGGTGAGACCGGTCAGGTTGGCTCTTGCGTGGATGCATACAGGTTTATTTTGGAGAATTGTATTTGGGAAGAAGACATGGAAGGGCACGATTAGCCTTGATGTTTGGCCTTTTGCCACAACGAGCTGGAATTTACAGACTTTTGTCCTGGATGTCCTGAGTTTTTATTATATATATACATTATACAAAAATCATTTGGCTTTTAGTTTGCCTTTAAGTTAATGAATGCAAGTGGTAGTATTTGGTCCAAGTGCAGTTCAAGAGAGCATTGGCAAACGTCGCACTCGACATCGACTCAGGAACACACAGGCAGTGACCGTCAAGCGTCTTTGGCGAAGACACAGCTTGTCACTTGGATCGGTTTGTCGAGGTGACTTTGCCAAGGTTGTACAATAGTGTACGTTCAATGCGATCGGCAACTTGTCACAATCTTCCAACAACTTCTACAAGAATATTGTTACTACTGTTGAGAAGTATATACTGTTATTACAAGCTGTTCGAACTTGTTACAAGTCGTGACTTGGAACTTCGGGTTTCCGGGCCGACACCTGAGGCCTTCCACGGGATGTGCATGTTCCGGTGGCTGAAACTGGACTGTGCTCCTCCAAGCTTGGTCTGCTTCGGTTTTGCCAACTAGGACTTTCATAAAGACACTTTCATGAGTTGGTTTGTTTGGCTTGCTCATTGGATTACCTTAAACTCTAAGATGGTTCTGAGTTGTTTGCTCTTCCCTCGTTGGCTCTCCATGTTCGACAAACGTGTGACATCCTACCGGTCTTTTACATGCTCTTTTTCCAGTCCAACTCCTGCAAACACCATCGACACAACGATTCCTGCCTTCCACTTGCTCAACCTCCGTATGTAAATGCCACAGCAACACGCCAACAACACCGCAAGAATCCACTTTATTGGCCTGGTGTTCTTCAAGACCTGTACATAGTGTTTTTGTTCTTTGGTGCATTTGGAAAATCAATGGTTGCATCCTCCAAAGCCTACAAGCCCGTTGGAGATGCAATGTTGCTTAGTCCAATCATGCCAAAGCAGTCCTCAGAAAGGCAAATGTTGCACTGACCTAGCCAAGCATATAATGAGAATTAATACAGCAGTAAGCAGACAAGCCAAAAAGAAGCAGATATCGGATCATGCCTTTTGTTCATTGATTCTTTGTTCAATGCTGTTCGTTTCCATTGTGAGTGACGTTGTTTGGCACAATATATTAACTCATGTATTTCGCATCTTGTTGTAAATCGCGTGTCTATTTCCTTCCTGCCAGTTGTTTAATATTTTTGCTCTCTCTCTCTCTCTCTTTCTGTCTCTTGCTTGTCTTCTCAATTTCTCAACCAATTGCTTGTTCTGCTTTGTTCTGTGCTATTGATTTATTTTTTTCTGACCTTTGAATATGCTACATTGGCTGAAACACGTCTCATGTGGAAGCTTGGCACTTCATGGCTTACTTGCGAACAACGCATCAAGCAGGGTGCGGGAGCCTGAACCTTCTGTTTTCAGCGCATTGTCTCTTTGCTGCTTTGTGCTGGCCAGGTGTTTTTGGTCGGATGTTCAAGCAGCTGCAGTTTACCTTGGCGGAGAACAAGGTGATTTTCAGGCGCTTCCTGCGGGATTGATGTCAACCTTTGGGTTTTGTAGAACCTGTTGTATTGCTGGGAGGACATTCTTTGGGTTCTGTTGAAGAGGCCCAAGTCAAGCAGGTGGATGGCAGCGAACTGCAAACTGATGACTGAAGGTACATTTAACCTAATTTAACCATAATGTCCATGTTTCTAGTTGGGTCAGGAAGCCTGGAGCAGATAGTTTTGTATCGATATATTATATTTTGTCAGTTTTCTCTACCCTGGATTCCTCTTTGACTCTTCCCGGGCAAGTATTCTAGGCTCGAGCCACTTGGGTGTCTCTTGCAAGTGTATGGGGGCAAGAGGGGCATGCCATTCGCCAACAAGTTAAACATGAAAGAAAGATACCCGCTAAGTACATAATGTGGACATAACGCTTGCTTGGGCTGCTCGAGATCCCGCAACGGAGGATGTCACTGATTTGTGCCGCGACCTTGTGGCTGTTGGGCTCCGTCTTGATGTACTATGCGGAGCGTGACAACCCCGACGAAGGCAAGGGCCAATGGTGGCTTCAAAGTGTGACACTGTGCCACTGGCGTTGGCACAGTGGTTGTGACTGTGCACGTGTGACACGCCTGGAGAGCAGAAAGGCAGACAACACAAGCTGAGCCAAGTGAAAGATTCATTTCTATACAGGAAGGAAAGTGAGCAAGAAAAGAAGGAAGGAAGGTCTGGTAAAGGTCAGAAGAAAGCACGACACATACAGGTAAGACCTGGCTAACTTGTCAACCCTAAGTAGTTAGCAAAGCCTTGCACTTGCTGAACAGGTACTCGAGACCATTTCAAGACCCTGCCGTTGTCATTCTGGATGACCGCCTTGGATTTTACTAGTGAAGCACCCATCAACGACCATGGAGCCCAGGCTGGGTGAGCATAGTTAGTCCTTTCCTGTCCACGTGAATCTGAGTTCCAACCACCAATCATTGACAAGAATCTCTCGCAATCACAAAAAAACAAAGATGATGGCCAGTGGGATTGTGAACGAATTTGTCCACTACTTCACAAGCATGCAGTCAGCCGCAATGAAAAGCCAGGCTAGAGATGTACAAGTTTCGCTAAAAATCTAGGAACCAAATCATTAGTCCACCCGCCCTCAGGCGGCGGGAGTTTCCTTGAAGAAGCGTGAGTAATCCTGCGTGCTACCTAGAAGCCAACTCAGAACTGTACTCCGCGCCTACTTAATTAAGTAGGAAGGGGGGAGCAGACTAAAATCAATAAAAATCATAAATTAAAGACAAACCAAGAACACAATTCTCTTTCAACTCCATTGAGCCCATTGCAGGGAAAGGCAGTGCACACCATCATCATGCTATTGGGCGTCGGTCTTTTCACGGTGCCCATGGGCCTCTTTGCTTCGGCCTTCCGGGAACGCGTGGAACCAAGTGTGTCAAAGAATTAAAAGTGTTTTTCACCACTTGTCAGGTGAGGGCTGTTAGATTGTAGATTTTATGTCAGCTGCCTTCCTCCTCCTTCTCCTCCGCCTCCACCTCTTCCTCAACCGCCAGCTCCGGATGGCAGTGTTCCTCGCCGGACCTCAACTGCAAGTGCATGATGGCAGTCCGGACCTCAGCCGCGAGTTCCGCTTGGCAGTGTTCCCCGCCGGACCTCAACTGCGAGCTTCGGCTGGCAATTTGCCCCGCCGGACCTCAACCGCCAGTTCCGGATGGCAGTGTTCCCCGACATGTTTTGGCGTGCTTCTTTTCAAACGCAGGGGCTCACTCTTCTCTCTGTTACTGTTACTGCAACAGTGAAAATTTGCTCAGACACGAACTGTTCACGACCGGCTTTTTCTTGAATCGATAAGTCATGGCGCACCAGGTGCACCAGACTACATCGGAAGGACCGGGGTTCGTCTGTACATGCGGAATCCGGATCGTGTGCGCACGCGGTGTCGTGGATCGTTCATACACGCGAACTCCCGCTGCTGTTCTAGATCAAGATGAAACGACCATATAGGAAGAGACCGGCTTCGCTCTTAGACTTGCAAAGCATCATCCCCACTTCATCAAGTCTCTTGCTCCTGTTGCGGAACAGATCCCCACCCCATCGCCCCCACATCCCCGTCCCATGAAGTCCTTTTTCCCACTTTGGATGCCCGCCCCCATCCCCAACCCCACCCACCCCATCCTCTCACCCCATCCTCGCCCCACCCGCCGGCGCACAACGGAACCCCACCCCACCCCATCCCCACCCATGCCATCCCACTGTGTGTGCGCAGATGATCCTGATTTTGTGTGCGCAGCTGGTCCACATTCTGTGTGCGCACATGATCCTAGCTGTGTGCGCAGATGATCCTCTGTCCACATCGGAGCCCATGGATGTTGTGGCTGTTCCAGGAGAACGTCCGGCGAGGCTTTACAAACGGGGAGTCGCTTTCGCGAGCTGAGCTCTGTCGGGACGCAGCGCAATTGCCACCAAACACAAACCATGCCAATGACATCACTCTCATTGTTCCAGAGGAGCACAATGGAGCAGTGTTTTCAGGCGGCGCTTCGAGCAGGTCGTGTGGCGTTTTGCACTGATGGTGGGGATTATTCGAGGTAAACTGATGTTTCAAAAATACAACGTGAACTTGACCGCTTTATGCAAAATTGAAAGACAGGTCGACAGAGATAAAGAAAGGTTCAGACCAAAGAGCGAAAGGCCCAAACATATCAGGGTTAACTCCCAACAGAGCTGAGGCTTGGATGAGATGCACGCCAAGACGTTGAGGCGGCCGGATTAGATCCCCAAACCTACCTGGATGTCCGTTACTTGTGTTCATCAGGGTTATTCCTGCTGCCTGGCCGTTCTGAAAGAGAGAGAGAGAGAAACAAATACAATTTTATAATTTACTTGTATTGTTTCCTTTTGGAATCAGGCCAATGTTTCTTGGTTTCTAGCTTACGATATCCCGTTGATCATGGATTAACCCAATGAAGTACAGCAGTTAACACCCTTGGCAATCGTCAAGCTGGGCAGACCGCTCCTTCACGGGACTCGATCAGAGCGCCTTTCCCATGGCCGCCGCGTCAGCGAGACGGCAATGGTTCTGGCGAAGGTGGGGAAGGGACAGGATTTGTGTACGGACCAACTAGACGACAGGGTGGCCCGAAAGCAAGTAGGCGGAAGAGAACAA